ACTTTACCACCAGGAGCGCACACGACCAGGAGAACGTTATATTGATAAGTACCTTACTTGCTAAGATAGATCATAAGATATTAGTTTTTTGCGCATCATTTTTTATATATTTTGTTATATTAAGATGAGTATCTTACTTGCTAAGATAGATCATAAGATATTAGTTTTTTTGCGATCATTTTCTATATTATCTCATCGGGGCCCCATTTACGTTATTCATTCTTTATATTTGATTCGTGGACGGATTTATATACATATTATAAATAAGATATATCTTGGGCAAAATCGTGTAATATACAGTGCCAGACAGTGTTGTGTACAGTGATATATCATGATTTACACAGTGCAAAACCTTGATATTTACAATTCAAAATCAAGATATAGTTCAAGATCAAGATACATACAGTGAAACATCAAGATCAAGATCCATACGAGATGAAGATACATACAAGATTAGAACCAACCAGAAAATTGCTTACAAAATTGGAGGACGTACACATGGATATATTATTAAGTTAAAATTAGGCTAGAATACATTAGGCTGGTAGTTTACTATTTTTTATTTTAAAAATGGGTAGGGAAGACGGCAAGGACCTTCCAGTTCGCATAGATTTTGCGTTTTTTCACAATTATTTAATATTAATTCATATAACAATACTTAATACACAAATTTATGAACTTTATAAATGCACTCCTCTATAAGCTTCATAGTGCTGGGAACACTATGAAGTTAAAGTATTTACATGATGGATCTAGGGGGTACATCATGTAAATACTTTTTTTTTTTTTTTTTTTTCTCTTAATTACAAAATTACCATAGTACATTACAATTTAACCTTTAATTTCTAACAGGTTCTTGCATCGTCTACGTTTTTTTTTCTAACAAAGATCTTCATATACATTTAATCATCTCGTGGGTATTTTTCATGTTATTCGTATCATTTAAATTAGCTTAGTAAATTAGCTTAGTTCATTATTTAAGTTATTTGTAAGTGGACTAGGGCTGTACTCGATTTGTACGGCGACACCACAATAAAAAAAAAACGCCTGGCAACTATACCTCCTGGGTGGTGTGGAAAATAGTTGCATCTTAGCTATAAGTATAATAATTATCAATTTAATTATTTTATTAATTAATTTAATTAACATATAATATGTAATAAAAAATGTAAAATACGCTGATGTTAAATGTACAAATATTCAATATAATAAAACTTTTAAAATAATCTTTGTTTTTCAATCTGAAAATCTCCATTTTTTTCAGGTAAAATTATTATTTAATAAATATTTTTTTTTTTTAATTTTATTACGTTTTGAACATGTGTATGCTTTGGATAATAATATTATCATATTATTATGGATTATAATATTATGTCCAATTGTATTTTTTCCCCTCATTTTTCTTTATTTTGAACTTTTATTTTACTAATATACAACTAACCTGATTTTTAGTACTTGTAATATGTTACTATAAGTTATAGGAATATTATAATTGAACATAATGTTTTAATCCATAATAATATGATAATATTATTGATTTTGCAATATTTTGTCATAAAATATTGGTTCGATACCATAAAAATATCAACGTTCCATTGCTGCTTATTTTCATCACATAATTAATGAATCGTTACTGATGATTTAATTATTTAAAAGCAAATTTAAATCGAAACTTATTCAAAAGTTAGTTTAATAATTTGCTTGTTTTCTTGTGCTGAGATTAGTCCTAAGAAAAAGTATTTGCCATAGTAACCGGTATTATTATTTTTGGCATTTTGGCCCGTATTGCCGAAACAGTTGGAGCTGTCTTCGCCAATAACTAATCAGCACGTCTCGCTATCAATAGTAAATTCAATTCAAATAAAATTTAATTTTAATAAGTTTAATAGATGAAACTTAATAATTTTCAAAAAATTCGAAATATAAAAAAAAAGTTTTTTTTAATTCAATTTTTATCATTTTTCAAAAAATTGTAAAGCTTTTTATAAACTGTAATTTTCAGTACGGAAAGTTTCAGTAATTTGCCGTAAGACACATAATTAATTTATTTCGGCGCTATGAGCTTGGAAGTGCACAAATTCGTCATCTTAAAAGGGCTCGCGATCTGAAGAACATATTTTTCTTAAACTTTCAACTCACTTACGAATCTTTATATTAGCCAAATTGCCAAATTTTTGCATTGCATTTGCATAATGTTTCGTTAATTATATTTCTTGAAATTAAAATTGTTATTAAAAAAATGAGTTAATTATACGGTATAGAATTTTCTTCTCACTATCCAAATTTTGCCGCTCTGGCAACATATGAATAATTTAAATAACATTTAAATGATTAAACAAAACTAGAGCTATTCCAAGTAAAAAGTTATATCACTACTGCTTGATATCAAACTGTCCAAGACTGGAATAGCACTGCAACTTGTGATTACAAGACCAAGCCTTTATCACAGAGGCACAGATAAGCTCTATATATAAGATATATCTTAAATGTTGATTTTCCGCCAATCGTCGAAATAAAAAAAAACAAATAAAAAATAAAATATTTATTACGTTTCGACACGAATTGTGTCGTATATATATATATATATTATATATATATATATATATATATATATATATAATTTGATACTTGTACATATTGAACTCAAATGAAAATATAATATTTAGGATTAATCCAGTGTTTATAGGTGCGTACTTGTTTTTATTACGAGTCCTGTTGCTATCGGGTATGTCGGTTTGTTTTATGTTCGTGTTTATAACTGTATCAGGATTAGTGGGGAAAATACCGCATTTCAGCTCGAAGCAGGATCAATCTAAATCGAAGTTATATTTGCTTTTCAAAATGAAGCATTGCCACTCAAATAAAAAGTCATCAGTATCAGAGCTACTCTAACAGACGGATATATTAAAAAGGGATAGCCCAACCGTCGAGTTGACTGTCAATGGCATAATGTTAATTAGCTTATAAGACTATTATATTATATATTTTGTTCTAATCGCTGCTGCTAATAATAAAAAATGAGGCAAAGTTTTTTCTATGATAATTATTTATTAACTTCCCAAAGGAGAAGTTTGTTTTCATCAAAAAATTCTATTCGCTAATTTTATGTTTTTCGACGTTTCAAGCCATTCTCAGTTGAATGAGGCCAAATTTAGAAAAAGTATTTGTGTGTGTGTGTGAATAGATTTTTTGCCGTAAATCGACGTTTTTTTCAAAAACGGCAGGACCAATTTCAAAAATTTAAAAGCCATTTGATGTATCTCTATGAGGACTAGCGCTTCCCAGTTTTGTGCAACGATCAGCCTAACCGTTTCTTTGTAAATCGCAAAAAAGTGAAAAAAAAATCGTCCACGTTTTAGCCCGCAATTCTGAATCGATTTTGAAAATTCAAAAACCGTTCGAAAGATATTGGTTGGGAATCGTAATGATTAGTTTTTGGTAAAGATCGGCCGGGCCGTTTTCTTGTAATAACGTGTTAAAAATTTTTTTGGCGATTTTTATTATTATTTTTTTGACGGTAGATACCATAGTCTTATAGATCATACTAAAATATTACGGCCCTACGACAATTAGTTTAATGTTAAAAATTTATCAAAGTCTGAGAAAATATTATAGTCAAAATTTGTGTCAAAATTGCTTTTTTGATGTGATCAGTCAAACATTATTAATTCATTTGAATTTGAAATAATAAGCTACAATTTTAGGACATACAAGCCCGTGTATGTGCAATTTAATTCATATAATTACAGTTAATTTAAATGTGTTTGAGAAAATTCTAGTCGAAATCGCAATTCTTACACATTTCGGAAATTTCATGCAACTTGCCTTATGGCTAAATGCCACTTTCAACTACTTTATTATTACGGAAAAGCTCGAGTAACATGCAGATATACTTTTGCTAAATTTTGTAACATTTAGTCTAATAGAAATCTTGTATTATTATTTTAAACATTTTTTTGTATCTCGTAAACAAATTATTACCAAATGTTAGGGATAAACTGCTTGTTACACAACTAATTTTCGCGAAATTTTTATGACAAATTTTGAATTTTAAAATCATTTCAAATTATTAAAAATAATGAAAAATAATTTCCATAAATTTCAAACACATATCAAAAAGTCGAAATCTAAATAAGTTCAGGGCCAAATTTCAGAAAAAATAGCTATGTTATATTACCCGTCTCCCATGGTGCAAAACATGTTACAAATAAGCGTATGCCAAAGATTTGGCTTTCTCAGTGCACCTTTTGGTATGTTTTGTTTCTTTCTGGATGTTGGTAGCCATAAAACAGTCAAGATATATGCCTTTGACGCTAAAACATAACCTCCAAATGTCAAAATAACATTAGTTTGATTTGTCGCATGTAGTGCAACGGGTCACTTAATTGTAATCGATTGAATAGCTTGGGATTGAAAGATTTTTATGCTTTTTTGTGCAATTTTTAGTGTGTAAAATTTTGTCGG